TGAAATCCGGCATGCCGTTTCCTTTTCTTTCACAAGCTGACGTTGATGATGAGATTGTGCGCCGTGCTCGTTTGTTTGCGAGTCTAATGATAATGGGATTTGCTTTTCAGCTCCGCTGCGAAGGCGATGCTCTCCCCATTTTGTTACAAAGCCAAGTGCGTGCTGTATTTAAATACTTGAAAACTCAGCATCCTCACGGCGGCATTATAAACCAGATATTTTGTACGGTACGAGTATGTAAGTGAAAAATGTCGGCGGAGGGTGGCTTTGAGCGACATCAGTATTGTCAGGACGCAGTCAGGATGTTTGGTATATACACTTTGTATACACTTAGTGTTCGTGACTTTTATGCCTTGAGCGCTGTTGTCAGCACTTTGCAGCTCTTGGGATGCTCAACTTTTGTTGACAGATTGATTTTGATGTGTTTTTATTGTTATTGTTATGATTTTATTTACAATGCATTGTGCCTGATGTCTGGTCTGTGAGTTACCCTGAGAGTTCACTCCATTCATTTAGGATTCACTATACACGAGTCCTTTGTGTCTTGAAGTACACTTGATGGCCTTAAGCACGATAAAATGGGCAAACATTTTAGCTTAATTGGTTTCGTTTGAGGTTTGTAGCTTCAATACAGCTAAGTCCGCTTAGCCATTCAATTAATTTCTTCTTACATACATATCCGAGTACATACGACTGTGTAGCATGTGAACGTTTACGTAGTTTAGTTGGAATAGCAACTCAAGCATTAATAATGTAAGCCAAGTCAGCTAATATTGATTGACTTCGTAGCTTTTATTTAGTACGGAACATGAACACAATGCTTTTCCATTACTTCTCTGTATTCACACATCTGACCAACAACATAAGAACGCAGAATTCAGGTTTTGAAAATGATATCTATTTGTATGCTTGCAATGTGAAAAAGTAAAGCTCTCATATAAAGCTGAATAAAGGTAAGCAAAAAATCATTTTTAAAGTATGGACAGATGTGCATTCAAATCATATATTATAGTTACTTCAGCGTACTCTTGTCGATTTAGAAAGAAAGCTAATCTTGGCCAATAGCTAAATTATTTTCAATAATACTAAAACGTTTGTTTTCCAACGTAAGCAAATTTAAATTAGTACTTTAACTTAAAATTAACAATTTTATTCATTTACGTTTTGCAGTGAAGAGAAAAGAAGTAATAAATATAATTATGTAAAAAATTGTAGGAGCGTTAACAAATTATGTTGCACACCATTATATGTGTAGCAGTGCCTTTGATATATCGCCCAGACTTCTATTTATCACAAATGCACACTCCTTCGTAAATAAAAAAGTTGTGGAGTTGTGCTCTCTAATATCACCATTTATTTCATTAATTTTATTTTGGATCATTTATTCGAATTTAATTTATTTGGTTGCTGAGAGCACAACAAATTGAAATCCGGCACTTTGTGAAGGCCAACATAACTTGTCTTGAATCAGGCCGGATCAACTTTGCCTCGCTCTCACGCACAGGCTCAACGTTTTATTGAAGCGTGTAAAAGGCAACAAACTAGCAAACTAAGTGAGCCCAATCAAATCGATACAGAATCCAGAAGATGCCAAGGCGTATGGTTGTGCTCGGTAAACGACGCGTATAAGCAACCATACGACATGCCCCATGTGCGGGGGCAAAGTTAAGACTGCTGGTAATTCCGTGCAGGCCAGTCGTTAGCTGCCCCGTAAGCATTTGGAATTTCTTTTTTATTTTCCTCATAGTCAGCCACTTTTTGCGGCCACTGCCCAAGCATTCGGCATCACTCATACGCAACGTTGCCTTTCAAATCAATTGATAAGAATTCCGTTATATGTGTCTAGATAGATGTAAGGGTAGGGTGCAGGAATCTGCAAGATGCGGTTTTTCAGTATTTTCCTTTTTCCTTCTTGCTTGCCCGGATGTGAAAGGGCTTTGATTTTCATTGATTCCATGTCTGTGTGTTTTTGTCTTGTTAGTTGGTTTTTCCGACGGTCATTTTCAGTGGAAAATATGTGCGTGTGCTTACGTGCAATCAAGCGTGCTTGTATTTAATTTGGTCAATTGTCACGAACCAGTCTGCCTGCCCAGGAGCTCAGGCAAATGGCCAAATGGTTATGTAACATATTTTACCAATAGATAGCACCAAACATTTTAAATTTAAGGAATTATCAAAACATGATATATAATTAGTATTTTGAACATGTCAATATTTTCCAACGTATACGTATGTTGTGTAGTAGTTTAAATCGCCGATGAAGAGCAATGATAGACTAGATGTAATAGTAAGCCAAATGAGATAAAAAAAAGAAAATTCTTTGTAATGAATGTTGATAAGTACAAGTATAGTATAGATACATTCTTCCTTTTTTTTTGTATATGTATCACTTGTGCTTACAAGTTGGGCTTCCAAATAAGAATCTTATGAAAATAATTCACGTTATTGATTACAATTTATAGCATAAAGGAGTCAATTTCATTAATTAAATGACAAATCTATTTTAAGTGCACATAATTACATGTTATGCTTTATTATATATAATGCATCCTTCATAGTAATAATATAATATCCGACTGTAGTAATGTCAGTCTACTTTTAGAATAGCAGAAGAAAAACAAAGTGCTTTAAGGTATTACATAAGTGTAGAAGTATCAATACTTTGTTCTTTTTTTTTCAATTTCATTTAAATGGAATTCAGCTTTTATAAAACAGATAAGATAAGAATGAAGCAAAAATTGTACAATCAGGTACATTGACGTTGATGTCGCAACGTGTTAATACAAATAATAATAATGTCTAATCTAATGACGACCAATAAAAGTTAGAATTAAAAAACAAATTATATTATCTATTTGCAAAGTAAGCATTTGACTCAAAAAGGTTCATCCGCCTTTGAGTAATTATTTAATTAATTTAAAATATTTTTAGCGAGCAGTGCTTAAGTAAATGTTTAAGGGGGCACAAGAAATTAAAGAAATTATTAATTCTTAAATTAAGGAAATGGAGTGCAGAGGTACTAATTAGTTTTATAGAAAAGCTAATTATAATAAATAATACATATTGTTTTGTAGCATTTGGTTTGTAGGGAACAAATGCTTGAATAAATATTACCGTATTTATGTATAGGCTAGACATTTTTTACGATTAGAATTGGTCGCTTGCCAAAAAGCCGCGTCATTTTGTGGCATTGTACGCTATATTTTTCCTGCTTTGATTAAGACGTGCGCGCCTTCACATACACTAACTATCTCTACATACATATATACATGTATCTATACATTCATACAACGTATTTATTTTATTTCGTATTTTATTTTCGAAACACATGAAATTGAAAACATTTGGCGGCGTCGAAATGTCAACAACAAATTCAAAAACAAAGGAGATCTCAAAAGAATCAAAGGCAATAAATTTTCAAAAAATACATGATTGTAGTGATGGCCACTACTTTCAACATTTGTATTTTTCTCAAAGGAACTTACGCGTGTGTTTGGCTTATAAATGACCGTTATAATGGCGCCTCGCGTGCTGTTGTTATTGTAATTTTGTGCTAGTTTCTTTTGGCGCTCAACAGTTTTTAATAGCGTTTCGTATGCCGTGTTCTTGGATCTCTTTTGATATTCTGCTTCCTCGTACCGTTAGCACGTATTAATCACGAGGCAACGCGTTCGCAACTGAGACAGAATTGTTGTAAACAAACCAATTCAACCCCTCGTTGGTGAAATACTTCGGAACTCAATGCGTTCGTTGTGCGGCTTTTATTTTGGAAAATTGTAACACTCAAACGTTAGACTACCGGCAGCCATGGACAACCCCAAATGTGAAATGGGGACGTGAAGCGCGCTCAAATGCGAGATATACAAGCTGGTGAGCGATTGCGAGTAAAAGAGCGAGCTTTTCCTGCTTGTACTGAGCCGCGTAGTTCGAAACAGAGCCCGATAACATTTGAGTGCTGTTTGATAAGGCAACGGCAGCAAGATAGCCAGTTTTACAAAACTCTCATATTGCTTTAATATTTGTTTTTTTACTTAAATATCACCATGGCAATTAAATTTCAAATTTCTATAGCACAGCACTGAGTAGAGACTTTAGAGAGAAAAATATACACTACATATTATATTTGTGCCTCAGCCATTTCTTATCAGACAAAATAAAAACTCGTCGGGTTGCGTTTGTTTATTTACTCAACAAATATTTGTACATTATGAAAAGAATAAGCAATTATGAACTTAAGAAAACGGCACAGCTGAATGTTTCTGTATTAACTGTAAACTGTAAACTGTAAAAAATATGTTATTCAGGAAATAAAACCGAATCATATTTTGGTGTCGGTTCCAGCTCGGCTACACAAAGAAAATTATCTTTCAAATTATTGTTTGGTCTGATTTTTGTCAAACACAGCTCCTTTTTGGGACTTTTATTTGCTTATTTATACATATATATATATATATATATATATATATATATATATATATATATATATATATATATATATATATATATATATATATATATATATATATATATATATATATATATATATATATATATATAGCATATATTAGTAAGCTTCTTGTTATCGTTATAAAATATAGAAGAATTTAAACGTGCAATAGTAGTCAATGGAAACAATATAGTTCATTCAAACTGTCGAAATTAACAGTTTGGATTACAAAAAGCGGTGTGCTATCTTGTGCAACCTTCTTATAAATGTAGATTATCAAATAAAATACAAAAGGTTTCAGAATTCTTCAGTAACGATTACTGGTACTTAAGACGTTAATAATATCGGTACTGGTTATGAATTTCAAAAGGCAATTACTACTAACAATTATGATTTGGGAAGATTCCTGATTTTCATACTTTTTATTGCGCCAAGTTTGAAAAACTTCAAAAACAATTTTTCCACTTTTTCGTGAAACAACACTGTAGCCCGATAACCATACCGAAACATTTTAATCGGTTGGCAGTGCATCAGCTGGTAGAAAAATGGGGGCATGTACGTGCATTTAATAAACTTCTCTGCAGAAATTGGAGCCTGGATTCTTTCTTACTGAGAGGGCTGTTTGGTTCCATTGCATATCTTTGTGAAGAAAGTAACGCCATTATTTTCTGTCAAATTTGAAAAGCAAATTCATCAACCGGTACCCACACTTTTAATAAAAATTAACCCATAATCACCAGCATTGGTTGAAAATGAAGGGGTGAGTCTTAAAACACCCTACTGTTGGAGGGCAATAAAAACAACAACGTCCAATTATTCTTAAAGTGTTGGCGAACCCACTGATTTTCAAGCAGCGGCTGCGGCAACTGCCACAGCTGCTGCCGCTGCCACCGCAGGATGCGCGGCCGCAAAAGCGCACGGCGAAACGCCAGCAGATGTAGAGAACTGCGAAACTGACCAGGATTGGAACGTGGGTAACTGTGGATTCATGGACACTGATTGGCAGCAGAAAATACGCAGCAATAGTGCTGCCGAGGATATAACCCAATTCCCGCTCTATGCTTGGGTCAATGTAACGAAAGATTTCCACAATGCCTGCAGTGAATTAGTTCCTGGTGAGTTGGCCCAAGACATGCTCTTTGGCTTGTTCGAAGCTATGTCAGCGATTGAAATAATGGATCCCAAAATGGATGTGGGCATGGGTTTTGACAAGTACGACTTGCCGCCGCCCTCGTTTGAAGCGGCAGTTACCGTAGGTTCACATCTTAGGACTATGAAATCGGCAGTATCTTATTGTTTGCGCATCATTGCAGATGGGTGCCATTAAGCTGGACGATCTAACTTCTGCGGAATTGATTGGTATTTTTGATGCCCTGTTTGCTTGCGTGGTATCTTGGCTTGAGGGAAACTCAATGGATCAAGTGCTATTTACCTGCCTTTATTTGCACGCGCCGTCTAAAATAAAGGATAAAGCTTTGCGTGTATTCTGTACTAGTGTGCGTAATCTTATTGTCATCATTAAGAATATTATAGTCACTGCCGGCGTAAATGAGGAGGAGGACTTTCAGCTGTATGGAAATTCTGCGTTGCTAGCAGCGGAAAAAGCGCAACCTTCAGCTATAACAGGTTTACTAAAGGAAGTGGAGGACGAGCTTGTGCGAAAATGTAAACAGCTAACAGCACCAGAAGATCTCATGGCCGTTGTGCATAGACTCCGTTTTATGCGTCACTTGTATCAGGCCATCTATCAAGTGGAGCTGCTATCAGTCGCAGAATCGGCCGAGGAAGGCGTTAATGAGATTTACAAAAGTCTTAATGTAGCTGCCGAGCTCTTGCCGCTTATACGTCGCACTATCGATCGAGGCACACAGCCTGTAGAGGGTTGTAAGTATTTTAATACATCGTACCAAAGGGACCTCTAAAATAAACAAATTTGTATATTGTAGCTGATACTCCAAATCCCATGGGCTTCTCGCCACGTATACACGATCGGAGTCAACCGCCCACGTTTCCTCGCAGCATCAAAATACGTGAACGACCCGCAAGCTTTCAGTTTCTTGAGGAAATGGTGGGTCGATTCAAATACGCCTGCAAAGTAATACGCCATCGAGATTATTATTCAGCACTAGTAAGTACAATTATTGTTTTTAAATTGGTCGGTTTTGACTGCTTCACATTATTTGCAGAATTTTTTTATCGAGTACAGCCGCAAGTCAGGTCAGTGCATACTTTCGCGAAGCTTTCTGCAGAACCTTTTCACTACAGGAATTCGCTTGGTCCATGGCAAACAGTCGATGAAGCAGTTTCTTAAATACTCTGTGCAGATATTTAACTCTCCGCCCGTGCTAAATCCAAAACATCCTGTCGCAAACGATCCTAAAGTGCAACAACATCTGGACACATTCTTCCGCTACTGCATCAATATGAATACATTCACGCAGTTTATTCGCATCTGTGGATTTAATCGTGCACGCCAGCGCGACAAATTAGCGCGGCTAATTGAGAACTTTGATACCATACAAGTAGATGCGGCGAGACTAGACTCCTTGATGAATCTGATGGCCAATGAGCGAGCGCTTGAGGGCAATGAACTACATGCCACGGCGCTGAAGCACAGCACACATTTTTCCACGTGGGTGCTTTACAACTGTTTCCGCGCCATGCTCATCTTTCTCATGTCCGGCTTTGAGTTGGAACTGTATGCTGTACATGAGTTTCTCTATATTTACTGGTATCCATATGAGTTTCTTGTGGGCTTTCTCGTCTCGGCTCTAACACGCACTGAAAACATATTGTTGGCCCAGGAAGAGTACGCAGAGCACCAGAGTAAAATCCAAGTCAATGGCGGAGGTGGAGGAGCTGGCAAAAATCGTAAGCCGGCTAAACCAAAGAAAAATAAGAAACAACAACGACCATATCGACAGGAGATTGTATACTACCATGCGCTTCTTAGTCTGTGTGGCGGCATGTACAAAGCAATGGGGGCTCTTACTAAAGACGGTCGTATTCGTCTACCAACGTCCAAGTTTGACAACGAGGAGATCCGTTACAATCGACGATTTTCCCCATTTGTCCCGCTTACCAGCCCACCACCAGTTTCTTATGCAGAGTTTAAGAACATACGAGACCACATGATGCGTCCAAGCGTCGAGGAGCTGTATGCGTTTGCAGCCAAGCATTTTGACCAGGCCCGCAATGTTCTGGAATCCATGCAGAATCCTGAACAGGAGGTTAGTCGAGTCTGCTTACTGAAAAATATAAGTCTAAAAATATACCTTTTTGCAGATGCTAGACCTGTTGCAAATTGCACGCACCAATTTTGTGGTCATGAATGTCCTGGCCCAGGGCCATCAGAAGGGTCTCAAGCGGCAGCCAGAATTCGACTTCTCAAGGCATAGCTATTTTCCCATAATTAAGCTCAAATAGCATCGTGCTAATGTATTTAACAAACGGGAGTCTACATCATCTTTCTCTTGGATTTGTCTAATTATTGCTGTTTCGTAATTTACAAATTAAATTGTTTGTATGCATTTCTTCTAAGACTGTTTATCGACTATATCTTGTTTTATAACATGCTCCTCTACATAACCCTTAATATCGCAGCTGGTGGTGCATGTGTAGATTGCTATTACACCCCAGTCCAGGCGGTCATCCTTCAGTATTACTAAAGTTTGAGGCATTATTTGGAACTCGAACTGACGCGGTCCTCCACATTGTGAGCAGTTTGGCACCGACTGCAATTGACTGTCCACAGTACCGGTCGTGTTTGCAATCCACAGGGGCGTGCCGCCACGCTTGTAACGTACAATCTGCTCCGGTTCGGCAGCAATTTCCATTTTAAAAATGCGAAATGTTTTATCATCCACAGCCGCGGAACTACCAAAGTACTTGTCCAGCTCAGCTTCGGAAACATCCTTTAGCTCGCCAGTCTTGCCACTGGCAGCTAGGTCCTCAAATTCTGCTAAGCGAGCACGCTCCTGTTCTCCGTCTTCTTCATTGCTCTCGTTTTTCCCGTCTGTTGGATTGCTATCCATGACGATTTCATATTCTGGAAATACAATGTCTTCTAACTGGCTTTGGCTACCAGATATCGTCGTGATAGTACCACAGTCAGGCTTATGTTGTGACCAGTGAGCTCGTTGGTGAGCGGATGAGCAGTAGTTAATCGATTTGCAGCGACTGCAAGTGTGTGGGGCGTAGCATCCACAGGCAGCACACAATTTTTTGAGACATTGTATAGCTGGCTGTGAAAAATAAACATTTAAATAAATAACGCTGTCATAGCAAGAGAGAAGCATATAGCATACCAGCGGCTCGCCATCTTCAGAAGGCTCCTCCTCTGAATAAAATTTGTTTTTCCTAGGCAACTGTGCGCGCAATGCGGTTATATTGCTATAATTTTGTAAATATATTAAAAATGTCTATAAAGAGTGGATAGTTAATACATACTTGGCCTTGTTGGCCTCCTGGCAATCGGCGTTACGACATACAAAGACGTAAATGGTGCGATGGAAATTAAAAATATCATCGTAAGGAGCATATAATTGGCAGAGAAAGGATTTTGGTGCTCGGCACTTGTTGCACAGCAAAGTTGAGATTCCCGGCAGATCTTCGAGCTCTAGCCAAGCGGGTCGGCCCCCTAATTTACTCGGAAAATAACGATTGCTCAGCCAGGCGGTCGATCTCGCTTTTTCAGCAAACCCCAAATCAATGTCCATTATTTATATTTATGCCCGCGTGCAGTAGGGTTGAAAATAAAATATCGATATATATTTTGCTTTGATAGAATATATTTGATAAGATAAAAATCGATATTATTCCATGATATTTAGAGATGATAATTTGCACGTTTCACCATTGGATCTGGAATCTATTGTTTTGTATATTTTTTAATTTTGTTAAATTTTTTTTAGTATGTCCATATTTAATAGAGAGAGGGGAAAAACAGAGAAATCTCTGCCTTTTGTTTTTCATAAAATGTTAAGGTTAAAAAAATAGTTGGCAACTATCAACCTCGAACAACCTCGAACTTTGAGTTTTACAACGAGTAAGTAGGTGTGTAGTATCGATACTTCGTGTGGCTATCGAAATATAACCATTCTGTGGCACCAGTCGCAGTCGCTAGTTACGCGACAATGGGTGCTCGTTTGTCGTATGAAATTCGTTTTCTTCACTGATACTGTTAAATATAGCAGTAAATAAATATAGGAAGTCAAACGTGTTTCACCAATTTCTTTGTTTATGTGCCGGCTCGGTCAGATAAAATAAAATTGTGAAAATGTCGTTGTGCATAAAAAAGAGAAAATTTTATCAAAAGGAAACCATATACAACGTAACAATTTGTTAATAATTAAAGCAGCAGCTGCTGTCAATTCAATAAATTATAAAGACGTCATTGCGGAAGCATTCTGGATCTCCGCTTATACGCGGAAAGTTTCTGTTTCGAGTGCTAAAAATAAACGTAACCACCTACGCATAAAAATATCAACGTGCGACAGCGCGGTAAATCGTCAACAATCACAGCAACAACAAACAGAAACTGAAGCTACTTTTGAGTTCTTCAGCACACAGCCGTGGACCATTGCATAAATTGGCTGGCACAAGGGAAGCGATGCAAAAATGAAAATACATAAGCATATTAAAGACAACGAGCAACGGCACAGGAATTTCTGTAAGTTTATTTCCGGTTATTTGTGTTTGCAGCGATTTCTTTTTCTTGCGTAGCTGGGCAAGCTCTCTCTATTTGTATGTATGCGTGTGGGTATGTTTTGCTAAATTTAGTAACGCATTGCTGAAAATAAGAATTGGAGCACCCTGCCAAGTAGCCGGTCGAAACCAAATGTACGCCTAGAACACACATACAGGCGCACGCACAGCGCACTTTTTGACACCTTGCCAACAATTTTGGTCTAGGCAAGGCACCCGATAGTGCTCAGGAAATCTACCAGTTTAGCAGATGCTTTATATAAACTGTTGCATCTCCAATGTCCCCCCTTTGATTGATGACTACTACCCTTTTCCAATCAATATTATAGCCAGCATCGAATGCCTTGCATAACACTTTGAAAACAATTATGAACATTATTTAGGCAACAGACCCTAGTAAACACAGAGCCATGTGACGATGTACACAAAGAAATTGGCACCATAATGACACATCACATACACACATTTAACAAACGACATACATATACACATACATACGTACATACGACAGACGTGCACATTGGCCACCAAAACCCACATATGCTAATATTTACATACATATTTCCAAAATCAATAATAATACACAATCCCATACATTGTAAAATGCAATTGGTCCACATGATTATGATCATACTTTGTAATTTTTGTTGCATCTGCCTTTGGTGCTGAAAAGAATATATTCGCCGAAACATTCGATTATATACAGAATAATCTTTCATCGCCTCGATTTGGCTCACAGCAAAAGTTAACAGCATAAATTCGAGCAGTAACACAATTTCATGTGAAAACTGAATTTCGATTTTTCGCCAAAATGTTTTTTTGCTCTTGTAAATGTATGAACATCCATTTTGTCATTTGTCTGCCCATGCAGGTCTAACTAATTAACGTTAATTTTCGACAAAACCTACGAAACAAAATGAAAATTGAAAACAATGTCAGGGCAGCTAGCTCCAAAAAAAAAAAAACAAACGCGCATTAAACAGTTAGTGGTTAGCTGGCTCTATGGGTGTGGGTGCGGGTGGTAGATTGAGTATTATTTCTGCCTAGTTGAGCGTTGATGGGCCGTGGGGGTTGTATGAAGGGCACCGGACTGTGTGCGGTTTTCTTATTGTAAAATAAATACATAACTATAGTTAGTATGTAGTGTGTAGTTGAACCACGATACCTGGTTTTTTATTTACGCATGACCACACATGCACGTGCTTCTTGTGCTGTTTAAACTCACACTACCACAGTCACATAATAAACTCGCACAATACCGCATTGCACTTTGAGAGCTCTCGCGTTGCCGTTCGCACATCTTGACCAACCGCACACAAATGCCCATCGGCAGCATTGTCCGTACGCGTATGTGTGCTCATATTTGCTTTGTATGGGAACATGTGTGTGTGTGTGTGTTGGTCTTACCTTAGCACAAACATTCCGCACTCTGCTCCAACATATTTGCTACGTGATTTCCCGTCTTTATTGATGATCAGCTCAGTCTGTTTGTTGCATACAGACCATGTATGTATGCATGTACATATGTATGTACTTTTCTATATTCACATATGTACGTACATATGTATGTCTGTACATACTTATTGATTTTTTTCAGTACTTTATAATCGGTGCTACTGTTGTTATTCTTGTAGTTGGTAGTTGCTTTTTCTGTTAGCCGCATTCGTATAGTTTACAATTTACAGCTTACAGGTTTCATTTTTATACTCTGTACATGAAATGTACAAGAGTATATTAGGTTTGCGGGAGCTGAAAAATGTAACAGGTAGAAGGAGGCGTGGCAGACCCCACAAAGTATATATATTCTTGATCAGCATGACGAGACGAGTCGATCTAGCCCTGTCTGTCTGTCTGTCCGTCTGTCCGTCTGTCCGTCTGTCCGTCTGTCCGTCCGTATGAACACCTGGATCTCAGAGACTATAAGAGATAGAGACACCAAATTTTGCACGAAGATGCGTTATGTGTGTATTCTATACGAGTTTGTTTTATTTTTTTGATTTTCCCCCCCACTTCCCCCCTATGGGGGTTTTCCCGATTTTCCATTCGTATAATCGCCTATATCTCGGAGACTATAAGACCTAGGAACACCAAATTTTAGTCCCAGATGCCTTATGTGAATACGCAGAAAATGTATATTTTGGAATTCCCCTCCCTCCCCCCTCTACCCCGCAAATCGTAACTCCCGTAATTCTTGGAATTTCGAACTAAAATTTTGGAAATACCCCCAGTTAGTTACTATGTGTCCGTATGTGTCATTATGATAGACCGATTTAACAAGAAGTTATAGCCATAAATATATTTGCTGATGCAGCGCTGCTGCAGCGCTGCTCAAGCGCTGCCCGCGGCTGTTGTTGATGTTGCTGTTTGGTTGACTGCGAAAATGCTTACACAGACACGAATTGATGCGCATAGGCATACATACACTCACACAGACGCAATTGCTATGTAAATGTGCAATTATACACCCTTTACGTGAGTTCGAATACCGAGAGAGGTAAAATCGATCAAATTTTTTTTTTTATTTTCTTAATTTTTTTTATTTTCTATAATTATTGTAAACATATGTACAGAGTATTTCAAAGTCGGGACACCCGACTTTAGCTTTTTTACTTGTTTCTTCAACACTCTTTACTGAACTTTTTCTTTTTATTGCGGTCACACTTTCTTCTCATTCTCCCAACTCTTAACCCGCCGTGCGCTGCTTCTGATACCACTTTCCTTTCTAGCTTGGCCATTTGTTGCTCTGTTTTCTCAGCTTTAGCTACGAAGTTGTGTCTCAAGTTTCATGTCTGCCTTCCGCTTGGCCCCGACCGATATTAACCTCTCTAGTGACGTACCACTCGATGGCTCATGAAATATGCAATTTTAAACTTTTAATTGTTTTGGCAAATGCGAGCTAATAATCTTGCAAGCAGTTCCGAAAAAGTAATTGTTTGTTGAAAAACAGTCATGCTGCTGCAAAAAGTAACCTGGATGTGTTGTTGATGATATTAAAAAATGAAAACGAATAGTACAAGCGTGTCAATTAAAAGCAGAAAATTGGAACTGGATTACAAATGGTGTATACAAGTATATATGTATATGCTATATCCTTTTTCAAATGTTTGTAATACAGAAGGAGCCGTGGCAGACCCTGCAATGTACATACATACATATGTACATTCTTGTTCAGTATGACAATACGAATCGATATACATATGTTAAAGGTATTACAAGTGCTTGCATAGCTGTACATACTTGGTATTCGTATTCGTCCTATCAAGTTTTTTGTTCTCCTGATATCAATACCTAAACCATTATTTATACCCTGTACCCAAATGGTGAAGGGTATACTAGTTTTGTGCGAATGTATGTAACAGGCAGAAAGAGGCGTGGCAGACCCCACAAAGTATATATATTTTTGATCAGGATGACAAGACGAGTCGATATAGCCATGTCCGTCTGTCTGTATGAGCGCAAGGATCTCAGTAAGTACAAGAGCTAGGATAACCGAAATTGGTATCAAGGTTCCTATAAGCCCTAGGCAGATCGAGTTTGTTTATTTTTTCTAATACACCCCCCCCCCACTCACCCCCCATAACTCCCGTAATTCTTGGAATTTTGAACTAAATTTGGTAGTCACATTAGGTTAGTGATTATATAGCCGTATACCGGTTCATTATAATAGAATGATCGGAAAGAAAGTTATAGCCACATAACCAGTCCCAATGCACACATATATTCGCCTAGTTTATTGCGAATATTATAATAATACCAATTGAACACTTTGGGTACCGGGGTATACAAATTTGAAATACATTATGAATACATAAGAATCGTTTTTTGATACATACTGAAATGAATTGTAATTTTATATATAATGAATTCTCGTATCATCAATATCGAAAGCAATTCTTCAATTTATTATCCCGCTTAATTCATTTAAAATTCGATTTTTAAATTCACCATAAAACACACATTGATCCCACTGGCAACGGCCGACAACAAAAATTATCCGCACCACTAACAATTACGTTGACACAACAATGGGAGAAGTGCGAACAACGTCAACAACAGCAGGAGCAGAAGCAGTAACTGGAGCTGCCAGCAGAGCAGCCGTAATGGTGGGGGTACAAAAAGCGCTGCATTTATTGCCATGGCAAATAGTTCAACTGCTGTAACCAACCAACCTTCGCTCCTTTCCGGTCTCCGCCATTCACCAACCAATGCACCATTCAGCATATTGTGGCCTTTGATGTTGGCGTGGCACCAAAAACACAAACTGATTAAATTACAAGCATGCACTATGGTTGAGTGGCCGTCGCTCCAACATTTGCTCTTGCTACTTTTATACCCTGTAGCCTAAGAGTAAAAAGGCTATATTAGGTTTGTGAAAAGTATGCAACATGCCGAAGGAATCATCTCCGAATCCTTAAAGATATATATTTTTAATCAGTCGAACCAAATATATTGATCTAGACATGGTTCGTAACACTTAAGAAAGGAACGTTAGTGTCAGGCAAGGTCAACTCTTCGAACACCCTGTAATAAAATAAAAATATTTTATTAGATAAATCAAAAAAACAAAAAAAAAATAATAAATATTAAAAGCTTATACATACAAAACAAACTTGATATGCCTAGAGCTAAGGGGAACCTTAGTACCAAGTGTGGTTATTCTAGCTCTTGCGCTTGCTGAAATCCTTCGGGTCATACAGACGGTCATGGCTTATTCGACTCACTTTGTCATCCCGATCGAGAATATGTACACCCGTTGGGTACAGGGTATACAAATTACTAGTACTATGCCTCCAAATTGAAGCAGCAGGTTCGCTCTTCTACTTTTATTTTCTTGATGGTGGAGGGTATTTCAGTGTCGACTTTCTGGACTGTAACACTCCCTCTTATTCCTGTTGCTGTTGCTTTTACACAGGATATGCGTACTGCCTCCGCCTGCTCCTGCATTTCCGCCGTTGAATGCTTCATTGTACCTGTCTTTTAACAAGCCTGCCAACGTTGACCATAAATAATTGTTGCAGTTGTTGTTGTTGCCCTATGGCGTTGTCACTGGTCAAAGCTTTTATTATTTTTACATCTCATTTTGGCTGAGAATTGACAATGCTGGCCGCCAGCCTGCTTGTCACTTCACTCTCTCGCTCACTCCCCCATCGTGTTGCTCTTTGCTCGCATCGCTACTCGTAAATTCATTGCACGCTGATGTCAACGCTAATCAGATTTCAGCACGCTTTATAATTTCTTATTATTGAGCTGTCCTTGTCAGCATTTGCAGTTGCGTACGCGCCCACAGGCCAATGCCAAATTGAGTTAGCTGTGGGATTTAGCTGCACTTACCAAGCACCGGACTGCAACGCTTGTCGAGCTCGTGCCAAGAGCTGTATCTGTGTGTGTCTGCGTTTGTGTTTATGTATGTGTGTGCGTGTGGAAAAGCGGCCTGGCAGGCTGGTTGTCATTGGCAACTGATCATTAGTTTAGTTGCTTCAACTACTTCTGATAACTGGCAATGCCACTGGTCGTCCGACTTACCCACCTAGCAGGTTCGCTTGGCTGGGTCCACCTAAGCATGTCACTAATAAGCTTTGCCATCGAGCCGTTAATAATTTGCGTGCAATCATTAGGGAGCATTTGCAGAGATTGCCAAGAAGCGAAATTAC